TCTGTCTGGCTTACATATGATGATAATAATTATGATGATGATGATGATGATGATGATGGACGAAGAAGAAGAAGAAGAAGAAGAGGAAGAAGAGGAATAGGAAGGAGAAGAAGAAGAAGAAGAAGAAGAAGAAGAAGAAAAACACTACTTCTGATAGCTTCACAGATTAGATTCTCATTGTAAAATGCAAATAAGAGAACCTTAAGCAACGGTCACACTAATTACATGTGGCTGGGGATCCCTGTATCCCTGGATTGTTCACACTATGTTGGTACTTTTCATAGCCAGGGAAGTATCCTGCTCTGTAAGGAGATCACTGGACAGATAAGACTATTGTGACTTGTAATGCACCATATACATGATGTTGCTGAAGAGAGGGCAAATGTCCCTCCCACCTGGCAAACCAGGAGGGTTGTTGATCCCATTGGATTGGCAACTCCCTTGACACGGACTGGGAGGTTACTCATCCTTTCTGCATCCCAATAGCCACCAACCTTGTATGAACACCACCTTGAGCAGATTGTGGGCCTTGCAGCTTACTATCCCCCTCCAAATTTGGCAATATCAACAGGAGTGGCAGAAGTGGCATCCACCCTGAGGAAACTGCCTGAGGTTTAACCTCTCACAGGTGTGAACTTGGTCTTTGCAGGATGATGATTGGTTGCCACTGCTGTCGAGGGAACTGAAATGGCTGAGTATGAAACTGGCTGTTCTCTTGGAGGTGGCTGCTTGCTCGGACGTAGTTGCATGACCAGTGTAAGTGGCCACATCTATTACTGGTCAGCCCATCGTGATGGTCACCATCTCCAGCAGACTTCTGCTCTTGGTATTAGAGGTTACACTTGATGGAGCTCACAAGTCCATTAGTGACTACCAAACAGTAAGACAGACTTATGTACCTTTAGGACCCTGATACTGCCAGGTTTACTCTATGGTAGTCAAACCTGGACACTATCCAGTGATTTGGAGTCTCGTCTTGATGTTTTTTGCAACATGTCCTTGTGCCGGATCGTGGGATATCATTGGCAGAATAGTGTGTTCAACCTCACTTCAATCAGGATTATCCTACCCACCAAATTATCTCTATCTGAGACAACCCCAGGTGGAAGAGGCCTGTTAGACAACCTGAGAAGTTGAAGCTTGGGATGATCAATCTGACCTATAATGAAGAGCTAGAGATGGATTGAGGCCCTGCCTGGAAGCTCATTATGAGAGACCTTTGTAGTTGAAAGCAAAGAGTGGATGTGGCTATATACCCCATTGGCATTTGTTCCCTAATGATGAAATACCATGGGTCAAATGTCCAGCCCAACTTTTGTGACAGTGAAGGCAAGGCAGTTATCAAGCTATTGATGGCTTGTTCCCAGCAACCAATATGAGTGCATTTGAGGTAGCAGACTGTGAGATCATGTGACTGATCACAGGGTGTCCCTCATTACATAACATGAGACTTGAATCTTCACAACGTGGGATATCTTTCATTACCCTGTATTAAATTGTGATTGTGAGTGAACTACTGGTTACTCAACTGCACATTATAGGATGAATTGCTGTGTGTATGTGTATGAGTGAGTGTGTATATATACATACATACATATAATTATATATATATATATATATATATATATATATATATATATATATATATATATATATATATATATATATATATATATATATATATATATATATAAATATATATATATATATATATATATATATATATATATATATATATATATATATATATATATATATATATATATATATAAAAAATACATAAAACATACCTCAACTGACTGTTTTAGCTTTTCCTTTTCCTCTTGGCATTGGGCAAATTTTGTTTGCTCTTTTGACAATGCATCTTTGTCAAAACTACATGACTCTGCAACAACAACAGGAAGCATTTTTAATCTTCAGCTAAAGTCATATTGATATTCAAGAATATACATACATTACATGCACATTTTTTCTTTTCTGACAGGAATGCTTTGTCTTAATATAACCATTTATGACTGTTACTACAGAAATTTACGAACATCCTCCCAGTAGCAAGAAATCATAAAAGGAAAGCAACATGATCCTCACCAGTGTCTTTACCATCACGATCTGCTGTCCAACGGCCAGAGAATGGCATTTCTTTCCTTTTGCCAGGGACCCTCCTCTGGCCTGGGCCAGACAGCATATCATGAGGGTCGATTCCATCATCTGATTCTTCATACAGACGACCAAGGTAATAATTCACGTCCTCTTCATCATTGCTATATGTGTCATAGCAAGTTATAACACATATCACAAAGCTCAGTAGTACAAGCTTTGTCTTCCAATACATGATAACTGCAAAAAAATAGAAAAAGATAGGAATATACATACAATCTTGTAAATTGAAATATTATGAAAATAAAATAATAAAAGAAGTTGTAGTAGTATTAGTAGTAGTAGTAGCAGGAGTAGCAGCAATGGTAGTAGTGGTATTATCATTATCATTATTATCATTATCATTATCATTATTATTATTATCATTATCATCATTATTATTTTCATTATTATTATTATTAGTAGTAGTAGTAGTAGTAGTAGTAGTGGTAGTAGTAGTACCAGCAGCAGTAACAGTAGTAATAATAATATTTATTGCTGTAACACTAACAATGGTAATATTTTTTGTCATCATCATCATCATAATAATAATAATAATGATAATGATGATAATAATGATAATAATAATAATAATAATAATAATAGTAGTATTAATGGTAGTGGTAGTGGTAATGGCAGTGGCTGTAGTTGTTTTGATAAAAACAATAATAACAACAACAATGTGTGTACATATATAAACAGGCATAACCTCCTTTTTAAACAACAAATACATACCTATATCTAGAAATATTTCTGCCTTATTTACATTACAAGAAACCTCAGAGTTGAACTAACAGACAAGGAGTATCCAACATGGAAAATAGGAAGCCCATACCTAAGCACAATGAAGTAAAGCATAAGATGAAATTGGAGGGATAGAGAGCTACGTAACACAAACATCATGGTAAGCTTAGGCCAGAGGATGGATAGGTTGAGCAGGTTCGAGGAGCATACGTAAAGAATCAAGAAGCATACATACATATATTAATATACAATAAAAAAGATACCATAAGGCTACATGACATATCAAAATCAACAAGGGAAAGCCATAAAAATACAACTGATAACACCACCATGGTTTAAAGAACCTTGAAGTCCTTGAGGTTCTTAGTTCTCAGGAGAAAGAAGACGAAAAAAAAAAAAAAAAAAATATCAGTAAGACAACAACATGGCCTTTCACTATGACAAATTGCAAATCCCTCCTGGAGTGGCAATGTGATCTTTCTGTATATACTACCTAATCATTATGCCACATAATCATTAACACATTTACAGTAGACCAACCTGTGGCACATCAGCTATTTCAGTCTTAAAGTTGGCCATTTAACCCTAACAGTGTGGGTGCAAAGAATACAATGCCATGCCCACTGTAATAAGTTAATCTATTGTCTTTACATATAGATGGCTCAACGAGTGCTAAGTCACCAAGGAGTCCGTTATTAGTCTTACCTATCTTACCTGTTTACCCTTCTCCTTGATTTTTTAAAAGTTTCACTAATATTATATCATTGTCTTTAATGTTATTAACATTTTAACAACAATTTAGAAACCACAATATCAATAAGAATAACAACAAATATCAACATTAATAGTATAAGAAAGAAAAACTCATTTCCCCAAAACTTCAAGGAATGCGGAAATCAGCCACAGCATTGGGTTAATGTGATTAATTAAACCAACCCTTCATCTTTTAAGATTATCCCTTTCACTCTTACATTCTTTTTTCTATCACAAAGTTTTTGTAATGAATGAAATATAGCGCACGTCTTTACATCAAGCATATGGCCATTTTGTCGCATACCATACACTAAGGTGAAATGTGGCACCCTGGGGTAAATGAGATTGACAGCACTGTAGTTGACCTTTAATCACACAATCTGATTATCATCTTATCAGTACCTATTGATTACATGGTATAAAATGATAATATTACATTCTAAAAACAAGTCAGATTACATGTAAGAGTATTTTTTTTTTTTAGGATACTCAACATATCATCAGGTGGGGTAGGGAATAAATTGGAAATGATTGATTATAGGAAGAAAAACTTAACATATATGGTGAAAAGACAAAGACACACACACACATTCTATCTTTTTAATATCCTTATTTTCTTTTCATATCACAACTGCATTTTCTTGTAAGCTGTTCACAATGGGACTGCATGAAATGGTGCCTTGGTCTCTTGCCTCACATTCTAAGATAACCAAACATATATATTTGGAAAGGCAGAGCTCTGAGAATTTCTTTTGGGAGAATAAATCTCAATGGAAGTGTCAAGAATGCCACCTTGCCAGAATACGCCAGAGGGTGACTGAAGTGCTTTGAAAAATTTGCTGATTTTGACAGGCGATTGTGGCCTTACCTTTGTTTTCGGCAGATCATATTATTCTTTTCTCTCACACTATCTCGGATAACTATATCAACTAACTTTGATGTGTTCTTTTGCAACAGAGGTTATAAAGATAAATTCCTTTGGTTTCACATTCTGCTGTTTCCATATATTGCTTACCTTGTCAGAGACGGCTGATAGAAACTTTTTCTACACTGCATTATCTTCACTGACAACCAATAAATAAGGTTAAATCTTGTTACTTAATATTACAATACTATGTTGAAATTATCAATTTCCTGTTCAATAAAAAACAGGGTATACTTTCAGAATACCATTGCACAACCGACCACGATGATCCTGGTATCAATGAATTCCTCTTTCTCTCTCTCTCTCTCTAAATATATATATTAAGAGACACTTCAATAAAAAAAAAATTAAATATACACAGAATAAGTTACCATACTGTCCAATGCCGAGGACTATGCCTCCTCCCCTGGGCAATTGTCCTCCAACCCCCAAGACAAAGAAT